CCTCCGTCCTCTCCCTCGAACGAAACCGCCTCCAGCGGCGCGACGGTCCACGCGCCTGAGGGTCGTTCCATACGAGCGAATGTCGGGGTGGAGTTCAAAGGCGTCAGTTGGAGTTGAAAGGCGTCGAGGGCGAGGATTGAAACCGTGAGGTGGGCGGAGAGAGACGACGTGCAAAGTCCTTAAGAAACGGCGTTCACCACGCCGACGCGGTCGTACGGGGACCAGTGTATAGAACGCGCCCAAGTCGAGCTCGAGTATCGCCGCGTCCGGCGGGTCCAGGCGCTTGTAGTAGTTCAGCGCGACGCCGTTCCGCTTGAACCCGAACCTGGTGTAGAAGGCAATCGCGTCGTCGTTGTTCGTCTGCACGTGCAGGTACGCCTGCTTGATGAACGGGTCTTTGCTGCCCTCGTTGAGCGCGTGTTTCAGCAGCCGCGTGCCGATGGCTCTGCGCGCGACGCGGAGCGAGGGGATCGGTCAGCCGGCGACGCGTGGCGAACGACGATTGGATGGACTGTAAATGTAGTTTCATACGTGGAGAAACGTGGGGTCTGTATCGTCGCTCGGCGTACCTGTCCCGCCACGGCGCGTACACGCCGACGATCATGATGTACTGCCGCGCGGCGTCCTTCTCCGGCGTGAGCTCGAGCCTGCACGCGATGGCGCCCACGAGCTCGTCCCCGACGTACGCGAGCTGCGTCGTCTTCCCCGCGGCGGCGCACTCGACGTAGAATTTATCCTGCGGAGTCGATGAACGGACGCGTCAGTCGGGGGAACGGGACGCGTCGGACGACGGTCCGTCCGTCGGCGCGGGGAGCGACGCGTCGAGACGAGGTGAGACTCGCGCTTTCCAGCGTCGGGGACGACGAGTCTCGCGCGCGGAGCGGGGACGCGCCGCGTAGCGTATCGGGAAGATGACCGCGTTCAGACGCCTCAGCGCGGGCTCCGTCGCCGGGGTGAGGTCCTTAAACGTCACCGCGACCGGCCCGGAGGGGACGTCCTCGTCCGAGCTCATCCCGTCGCGGCGGCGGTGCGGTCTGGTGTGCCAACTACCCTTCGTACGACTCTTTTGCCGCCAACTGCGACTTAAAAACGAACATCTGCGAACGCCCCGCCCGCCAGCTCAGCGCCACAACGCGGGGGCGCTCGCGGCACGATGACGCCCACGCACGGCGTCGCGAGGCTCTGCCTCGGGCGGCTGAAGACCCCGAGGACGGCGAGAGACGCCCGGCGGCTCGCGACGAGCGCGTCCGCGGCGCACCCGAGCCACGGCCCGCCCGGGCCGCGACCGTCGTCGAATCATCAACCTCACCCGCCGCGCCAACAACAACAACAACGACAACAACACCCGGGCGGCTCGATCCCCGCGAACGTCGGGAACAACATCCAGCCGACGCGTCGCCCGATGTCCTCCGCGTCCACCGCGCCGTCGAGCGAGGACGCCGCGAAACGCGTCGGACGCGCGCTCTCCGCGCTTCAGCTCGAGGAATCGCGCGGGTGCTGCGACGTCCGAGGGAAGCGATCGCTCTTCAGCGAGTACGCGCGAGACGAGCTCGCGCGCATGGACGACGCGCTCCCTCCGGGGGCAGCCCGAGAGCGATGGCGCGGCGTCGTCGCCGGCGGGTTCGCGCGATACGCCGCGCTGAGCGAGCAGCAGCGCGCGGCGCTCGTCGCGGAAGCGAGGGCGCTGCTGAGCGGCGGCGGAGGCGGAGGCGGAGGCGGCGGCGGCGCGGGCGCGGGCGTCGCCGTCGCAGAGGTCGAGCGCCCGCGCGAGCGGGCGCGGGCGGGCGGGTTTTGGCAGCAAGAGATGCCGTCGACGTCGACGGCATCGGGAGCGGCGCCGCTCGCGCGCCGCGACGAGGAGGACGACGGCGAAGAAGACGACGGCGACTCCGACGACGTCGCGACGCGATTGCTGAGAGAAGGCCCCGGGAAGCCCGGGGGCAAGGGCGCCGTCGCGCAGAGCACGAGCTGGGAGTCCGCGCTCGCGGCGTCCGCGTCTTCGCCCGCTTCCTCGTCGCCCGCTTCCTCGTCGTCCGCGTCCGCGTCCACGTCGGCGTTCTGCGCGGCGAACGCGGGCACGGGGATATCCGCCGTCGAGCTCGCGGGGCTGGGAGGATCCTTACGCGGCCAAGAGCAAGGCTCGGACGCGTGGCACGCGTTGCGATCGACGCGTCTGACGGCGTCCGCGTTCAGCAACGCGTGCGGATTCTGGCGCGGCGGCCGGAACGAGCTCTGGGAAGAGAAGCTCGGCCTCGCGGAGCCGTTCGCCGGGAACGAGGCCACGGAGTGGGGGTCGTCGAGAGAGGACGACGCGTGCGAGGCGTACGCCGGGCTCACCTCGGCGTCGGTGTCGCACATGTTGTTCCGCGTGCTGTCCCCGGACGAGGCGGAGCTGTGGCTGGGCGCGTCCCCCGACGGACTCATCGCCGCGCCCGCGGCGACGACGGGACCGGGGGCGGGACCGGGGGCGGGGGCGGAGGGCGGCGCGGAGATGCCCCCGGGCGTCCTCGAGATCAAGTGCCCTTTCAACAAAGGGAAGCCGCTCGCCGCGAAGCCGTATCCGAACGTGCCGTGGTACTACGTCCCGCAGGTCCAGGGGCTCATGGCGGTGTTCGATCGGCAGTACTGCGACGTGTTTTGCTACACCGAGAACGGCGGGAGCGCCGTATACCGCGTCCGGAGAGACCCGGAGTACTGGGCGCTGATGTATCGCGCCCTGAGCGATTTCTGGTGGCAGCACGTCGTCCCGGGGAAGCACGCGATCCGAGAAGAAGCCGCGGCGGCGGCGGAGGGCGACGAGGGCGAGGGTCCCGCCTACGAGAAGTACCGACCGGCGGAGACGCACCCGCTGACGGACGAGCTCAAGCGGCGGAGCCACGCGATCGCGCGCGGCTCCCCGAAGATGTTGTACACCCCGGAGCAGACGAGGGAAGCGATCCGGGTCGCGAGGAGGAGGAAAAACGTACTGTAGAGAAAGTTTAGGAAGTGCGAAAGCGAACAGATCAACGCCACGACACATCATCGAGCGCCCCTTCGTCGCGGCACGCGTCGAGCCAGCGCGGCGCGCGCGGAGCTTCCTTCCTCGGGTCGCTCGAACGACGCGCGAGGATGCGGCTCGCGCACGCGAGACCGCGCCTCGCGGCGACGGCGACGGCGTCCACGTCCACGTCCGAGCCCGCGACCGCGGGCGTCCGCGCGTCGTCGTCGCTCGCCGCTCGAAGACGCCGCGTCAGCGTCGTCGTCGCGCTCCGGCGGAGGACGCCGTCGCGCGCGCGCGTCGTTCGCCCTCTCGCGGCGCTCCCGGAGGAGATCTCCGGGCTCGCGCGCCGCCCGGGGCACGTCCAGCGCGCGGACGCGCCCGCGAACGCGCTCCGCGGCGACGCGACCGCGAACGCGCGCCTCGTCTCGTCGAATCCGTCTAATCCCGTCGTCTCGAATCTCGCGGCCGCGCGCGCCGCGGCGCCCGCGCCGCCGCCGACGCCGAACGCGGTCACGGTCACGCTCCCCGCGTCCGCGATCTTCGCGCTGACGCTCGGCTCCGTCGCCGCGTGCGGCACCGTCTTCATGCTCGCGGTCGCGCCCGCGCTCCGAGCGATGGAGCGCGCGTCCGTCGCCGCGGAGCGCGCGGCGGAGGCGTCCGAGAAGGCGATGCTCGAGTTCGAGAAGCTCTCCGCGCAGACCGCGGAGGACCTCCCGAAGACGCTCGCGGAGATGGAGGCCGCGGGGCAGGAGTGGGACGAGCTCGGCGAGGAGCTGCGCGAGCTCCTGGCGCGCGTCGAGCGATGGGGGCAGTTCAGCGGCGCGGAGGAGGCGCTCACGAAGCTGACGACGTCGGTGCTGGAGGAGCCGACGAGGGTGATCGACGAGGCGGAGTCGTACATCAAGCGGCTGTCCGACGACTTCACGCGGACGCTGAACCAGCTGTCGGACTGGGACAAGGACCTGCGGTCGTCCGTGGAGAGGGCCGCGTTCTCGGAGGCGTGGGAGAGGCAGGGGAATGGCGAGAAGAAGCTCCTCTCCTCGGACGCGGACGGCGGGAAAGGCGGCGGAGGACGAGAGGACGGCGGGAAGGCGTCTCCGTTGCTTCTGCTCGCGCGGCAGAGGCAAGCCGTCGCGGACGCGATCGCGGTCGCGGAGGCGGCGACCGCGGACGCGCAGGCGGCGACCGCGGAGCTCATGAGCGGCGGCGGCGTCGACGCGGACGGCGACGCCATCGCGGCGATGGAGGGCAAGGCGGAGAGCGTCACGACGGCGCTGAGAGAGGCGCTGCTCGCCGTGGAGGAGGCGAAGGAAGCGTCGCGGTCGTTCGACGATGGCGACGGCGACGGCGACGGCGACGGCGACGCCGCGCGCTCGAGCGGGCTCCTCGCGCTCGAGAGAGAGCTCGAGAGGAAGCGCGACGCCGCGGTGGAGCGGGCGCTGAAGGGGAGCGTGGACGCGGACGGGGACGCGGACGGGGACGCGGCGGACGCGGAGGAGGGGGACCGCGGTCCGAACGACTCGGGGGACAACGCGTTCGTGCCTTGAACCGAGCGCATCCATCGAGTAACATCTATGTGTATCCTTTCGCGACAAAAAACCAAACCGAACCAAACCGAACTATCTCCCGCGCGCGTCCGCGTCCCTCGACGGCCAGTGCTCTCTGAGCTCGTCCGGGAAGAAGGACGCGTACCCCGCGTGATCGCGCGCCACTCCGAGCGGGTTCAAGAGCCCGACGCCGGAGTTGAACCCGGCGGGCTCCTCCTCCCCCGGCGCCGCGTGCGCGAGTTCGCTCGCGTCCCGCCGCGTCCACACGAGCGCGCCCGCGTGCGCGTAGTCCACCTCGAACCGCCCGGCGTTGCCGCTCGGGAGCCAGTACCCAGACGTCGGGACTCGCGCGAACAAGTCCCACTCGCGAACGACGCGCGTGTAGCGCAACGCGGGCGAGTCGTCGTCGACGCGCGCGCGAAACGCCGAGTCGCCGACTTTGGGTTGCCCGAACGTCACGCACTCGACCGCGACCGCGTTCTCGTCGCCCGCGAGGTTCAGCACGTCGACGTCGTGCGCGAGTCGAGACGCGCAGAGCGTCGCGAGCGCGCCGCCGAGGCTGTGCCCGACGACGACGACGCGCGGCGGCGGCGAACGCGAAGACGTCGAAGAAGAAGAAGAAGAAGAAGAAGCCGCGGCTTCCTTCCTCGCCCACGCCGCGACCGCGCCCTCGACGTCGTTCAGAACCGTCCTGTACGCGCTCGCGTACCCCCTGTGCACTCTCGACCCTTCCAACGCGTCCGGGGCCTCGCTCCAGACCTCCTGACCGGCCATGGAGTTGACCTGGCCTTCGCGGAGTAACCCCCGCAGCGGCGACGGCGTCGTCCCGCGGAAGCAGACGACGATCCAGTTCGGTCGCTCCAACCTGACGACCGCGACGCGGCTCACGCCGGCGGCGGCGCCGTTCGCGCTCGACGCGCTCGACGACGACCAGCCTTCTTCCCTTTCTCTTCGCACCTCCTCCGCGGTCTTGAACGTCGGCGTGAGCGGGCCAACCCCCGGGTCCGGATCCAGCCACAGCGCCGGCTCCGCGGGCGCGCCGAGCGACAAAAACTCTGCGCGAAGCGCCGCGGGGTCTCGCGCGATCAGCGGCTCAAACCCGAGCGGCGTCGCGAGGTCTAACCTCGCGCCGTCGTACGACGGGTCCCAGAACCCGGGCTGGCCCGCGTTCCAGTACACGAGCATCGCGAGCTTCGCGAGGAGTCTCGAGCCCTGCGGGGACGCGGAGACGCGGGAACGGGTCATCAGATATGCTGAGATCGCGATCGGGGCGCGGGCGGGTGCCCACTTCGCGCGCGGCAGGGGCGGCGGGGACCGCGCACGCGGGGACGGGGAGGGACGACGGCGTCGCGTCGCGTCGCGCACCTCGAACGAGTGCGGGTCCAAGTCCAGCGGCGTCGGCGGCGCGTCCGCCGCAGCCGCGGGGGCGTCCGCGGACGACGCGCGCGAGGACGACGCGCGCGGCGACGACGACGCGGGAAAAACCACCGCGCCCCCCCGGGTCCGCATGCTGGTCGTCGACGACGCGACGCGCCATCGCGGGGACGCGCGCGTCCACGACGCGCGCGGGGTCGGTCGCGCGAGCGGACGCGCGCTCGCGCTCGCCATCGCCATCGCTCGCGCCGCGGCTCGAAGCGCGGCCATCGGCGCGCGAGGGAGTGGCTCGCGCCCCGGCGACGCGACGTCGCGTCGCGTGGGCGGGCGGTCGGCGTCCACGGGAACTCGCGCGAGCCGCCGCGCGCGCGCCGACGAAAAAAAGGTCTCGGGAACTTCCGGAGCGGCGGCGGGGACATACGAAGACGCGCGCCGCACGTCCCGTCATCATCCGTCATGGCGTTCTGGGGCCTGAAGCTCGAACCCAACAAGTGGACGCCGTTCGTCCCGCCGCCGGAGGAGCAGCTCCGGCTGCACGTCTCCCAGGCGCGTCCCGCGACCGCCGTCCCGCGTCGCGCTCGCGCGAGGATCGATCGAACCGCCGCCGACCGCCGCCGGATCGATCGATCGATCCTTACCGTCGTCGTCGCCCTCGTCGCCGCGCGTCGCGTTCATCCACGGCGCCGCGGCGGCTCCTCCATCGCGTCCCCGCTCCGCCGCGCCGCTCGCGTCTGACGTCCCCCCCCACCCCTCCCCCGACCCCGCCCCGCCCTCCTCCTCCGTCGACGCAGGCGACGCTCGGGGACGGCGTCCCGAAGAAGGGCGACCGCGTCGTCGTCAAATGCCGCGCCGAGGCGGAGGACGACGAAGCGCGCGAGGCGTTTAACATCGCCGTCATCATCGGCGGCGTCGTGGAGACGTGCCATCTCGACCTCATCTTCAGCGGGTACGCGGAGTTCTACGTCGAGGGCGAGCTCCCCGTGCACCTGACGGGGTATTTCCTCCCGGACGACGACGACGACGAGATGGACGAGGAGGAGGCGCGGCGCGCAATGTACGGCGACATCGAGGACGAGGACGACGAGGAGGACTCGGATTTCGACGAGGAGGGCGGCGCGTACGACAGCGACGAGGACGAGGACGAGTTCGGGGTGTTGGAAGACTTCGACGACGACAGCGACAGCGACAGCGAGGACGACGACAGCGACAGCGAGGACGACGACGACGACGACGACGACGACGACGACGACGACGCGCCGAAAAAAAAAACCAAAAAAGGCGGCGTGACGATCGAGGAGCTCGACGACGAGGACGCGGTCCCCGAGAAGAAGCAGGAGAAGAAGCGCAAGGAAGCGCCCGCGTCCATCGCGAAGAAGGAAGCGCCCCCCACGAAGAAGCAAGTCGTCGAGGAGAAGAAGCCGAAGGAGCAAAAGGAGCAAAAGAAGGAGAAGCCGGCGGCGGCGCCGGCGGCAGCCGCTCCCGAGGCTCCCGCGGGCGCGAAGAAGCGCGAGTTCAAAAACGGCATGGAGATCGTGAACATCTCCATGGGGAAACCGAACGGCGCGGTCGCCAAGTCCGGGAAGAAGGTCACGATGAAGTACGTCGGGAAGCTCCAGAGCGGGAAGATCTTCGACCAGACGCGCGGCAACGCGACGTTTTCGTTTCGCCTCGGCGTCGGCGAAGTCATCAAAGGCTGGGACGTCGGCGTCGAGGGCATGCGCGTGGGGGACAAGCGCAGGCTGACGATCCCGCCCGCGATGGCGTACGGGAAGAAGGGCGTCAAGGGCGCGATCCCGGGGAACGCGACGCTGATCTTCGACGTCGAGCTCGTGAACGCGTGACGCTTCGTCGGCGTTCGACGCGACGACGACGACGGCGCGAGGAAGGAAAGTGAAAGTGTCGCGCGCGGTATCCCTTAATATGTATGACGACTCAGTTGCCATCGCACGACTTGCTACGTAGATTTCGACGCCTCGTGCGCGCGCGAGCTAGGGCTAGGGGCGCGTCACGGCGTCCGCGCGTCGTCGTCGTCGTCGTCGTCGTCGTCGTCGTCCGGGACGACGAAGATGTTCCCCCCGCCCCCGCCGCTCGGGCTCCGCGTCGTCCCCTTCTTCCCCGAGCTCTCCTCGAACCCTCGCACCTGCGCCCTCGCGATGACCGCGTCGAGCTTGTTGATCGACAGCACCAACGCGACGAGCCCGCCCTGCGGTCGGTGGTCGTGAACGGATCGAGAGCGCGAGGTGAGCGACGGCGAGGGACGGAGGACGCGGCGGGAAGGAGGTTCGCGGACGAGCGAACGAGTGGGAATCGGCGTCGGCGTCGGCGTCGGCGTCGGAATCGGAATCGGAATCGCGACGCGACGCACCCCGATGACGAAGCCCGCGACCTCGTTCGCGGGAGGCAGCGCCCTCGTGGCGACGCCGCGCGACGTGCGAGCAGCGCGTCGCGGTCGCGTGGGCGACGCGCGGGCGCACGGCGCACGCGCGGGGATGACGCGCGGACCCGTCATGCGCGCCCGAGCGCGACGCCGCAATGGATCCCGGCCAGAGTGGTGTCGGCGCCAAGTCTGAAAAAAGTTCTGGCGCGACTTTTTGCGGCGGCGAAGAGTGACATGAGATCGCTCTCTTCCAACCGTCGGGCGGCGCACACTCGGACGCGCGGCCACGCACGCCCCACCCGCAAAACCCGTCGCAAGATGCCCGAAGGCCTCGACATGAAGGACGTCGGCGCCGCCCTGCCCGACGAAGACGACGCGAACGACCCGGACGTGCGTCCTCCGCGCCGCTTCGCGACGCTTTCAAACGCAACTTCGCGCGATCGCGCGATCGCGCGCGCGCGTCGTCGTCGTCGATCCACTCCCCGCGCGCGCGTCTCCTGACGCCTCCCTCCCTCCCTCCCTCCGTCGCGCGCGTCGCCGCAGTTCGCGTCCAACGTGGACCAAGCCCAGGTCGCGAAGGCGCTCTCGCAGCTCCAGGGCAACCCCGGCCTGGTGAACGCGCTTCAGCACAAGCTCGACGACCTCGTCGGCATGAGCTCGGGGTTCGTCGAGAGCCTGCACTACAAAGTGCGCGCGCGCGTGAACGCGCTCACCACGCTCCAGGAGTCGCACGACGAGCTGTACGAGAAGTATCTGGACGAAAAGCGCGCGCTCGAGGCGAAGTACAGGGATCTGTACGCGCCGCTGTACGTCAAGCGCGCGGGGATCGTCAAGGGCGCGGAGGACGTGGACGCCACCCCGGGGGAGGACGACGACGAGACCGAGGAGGCGCCCGTCGGGATTCCCGATTTCTGGCTCTGCGCGCTTCGGAACCACGAGATCTTCGAGCAGCAGATCACGGAGAAGGACGAGCCGGCGCTCAAGTTCCTCAACGACATCACGTGCACGCCGCTGCAAGACCTCCCCGTCGACGAGAAGAAGAAGGAGGAGGAGGACGACGACGACGAGGAGGAGGAGGAGGATGACGAGCCCCAGAGAGGATTCCGCCTCGACTTTCACTTCGACGAGAACCCGTACTTTTCGAACGAGGTCCTCTCGAAGTCGTACCACATGGTCGACGAGGAGGATCCGATCTTGGAGTCCGCGGAGGGCACGGACATCGAGTGGGCGCAGGGGAAGAACCTGTGCGTGAAAGTGCTCAGGAAGAAGCCGAAGAAAGGGGACAAGAAAGGGAAGCCGATCACGAAGACGGAAAAGGCGGATTCGTTTTTCAACTTTTTCTCGCCCCCCGACGTCCCGGGCGAGGGCGACGACCTCACCGAGGAAGAGGCGGAGCAGCTCCAGGACTTCATGGAGATGGACTACGAGATGGGCGCGATCATCAAAGAGAAGATCATCCCGGACGCGATCTCGTGGTTCACGGGCGAGGCGAAGCAGGACGAGGACGACTCGGACTACGACGACGAAGACGACGACGACGAGAGCGAAGATTTCGACGAGGACGACGAGGACGACGACAGCGACGACGACGCCCCCGCGCGCGGCAGAGGCCGGGGCAAGGCCAAGTCCAAGGCCCCCGCGGGCGCAGACGACGGGGAGAAGCCCCCGGAGTGCAAGCAGCAGTGAGCGAGAGAGGATTGGATTCCATTCGGCGGCGATGGATGATTTTGATCTCGTCGCGAGACCCATTTGGTTGCGTCACATGATCGAACACCCCTTGCTCTTCGCCTTCGCGCCCGCGTTCGGCGGCGCCGTCTTCGGCCGCGGCGGCGACCCCGGCGACCCGACTTCTTCCCCCTCCTCCACGCTCGACAGCGCTCCGCCCGGGGAGTTCGGCATCGAAGCGGACGCGCGACCGCCCGGCGAGCGCTCCGGCGAGCGCTCCGGCGTCGCGGGCGCGCGCAACGCCGCGCGCGCCGCCTCAGCCTCCTCCTCCTCCGCCTTCTCCGCGGCGTCCATCTCCGCCCTCCACGCCTCCCTCTCGGCCTCGATCCTCGCCGCGTCCGCGTCCCTCCGCTTCCGCGCCGACTCCGCAGCCTTGGCCTTCGCCGCGATCGCGAACTCCCCCCACTCGTCGTCCCTTCCCGCGCGTCCCTTCCCGGCGCCCGCGGCGCTCGCCGCCGCCGCGGCGAGGACGCCCTCTTTCCCGCCGCTCGCGTCTCTCACGACGCTCTGGTCGAGCTCGCTCGGGTCCCACCACTCCGACTCGCCCTCTCTGTCCCCGGTCGAGTCGTCGCCGTCGCTGCCGTACTCTTCGAACCAGTTCCCGAGCCCGACGCCGCCGGGGACGACGGAGAGCGTCTCGGAGAGCGCCCTCTCGGTCCGGCGGCTCGACGATCCGAATCCGCCTCCGCGGTTGAATCCGCCCTGACGCCGCCGCGGGTCGTAGAAGCCGTCGTCGTCCCCACCCCCCGCGCTGAAGTCCTCGTCCTCGAACAGCGCGCGCTGCCTCGGCCGGCTCTTCCCGACCGGCGGCGTCTTCGCCGGCGCGAGGTCCTCTTTCGTCCACCAGTCCTCTTTCAGCCCGCGAACGTCTTTCGGGACGACGCGCTTCTCGAGCGCGGACCGCGGGGACATTGGCACGTGCGTCCTGAATAATCCATCCGCGCGGCCGCGCGGTCTCAAGTCGTCGCGCGTCATCATCCGCGTCTCGACTTTTGTCTCGTGCTCTTTCAAGTCTTTCGCCCCGCGCGGGATGAACGGCGAGCGCGGCGACAGCGCGAGCTGCGACGCGAGCTCGTTCGCGAGCTCCTCCTCCCACGCCCAAACCTCGGACTTGTCGCGCATGACGCGCGCCTCCCACGAGCTCTTCGGGAGCCACGCGAACGCCATGTTCGACGGAATCGTCCCGACGTCGAGCTCTTGCTCCCATATCTGCGGGTCCGCCGGGCGGTCGTCCCCGGGGCTCCTCGGCGCGTCCGCGGAGAGGAGCCCCATCGTCGCGCGGTCAACGAATGACGACGACGACGTCCGTCCGTCTCGGAGAACTTCGCGGCACGAAATCGAAAACGCACGACGGTGCGATTCTGAAGTTCATCGATCAGTTGAAAGGGGACGCGATCAAATGTTGAAACTGCGGGGTGGGTGAAAAACTTTTGTACTGAACGCGCCTGAGTACGTTCCCGTGTAGTACGCTCGGGTGGATTTGCGCATACGATTTTTCGCGGACCTATCACGGGTGGAAAAACGGCGATTGGAGGCTCTCGCGCCCTTTTCGCGCCATCGAGTTATCCATCGCGCGCGACGACGACGACGACGACGACGCGCGACATGAGCGGCTTCGGAGCGTTCGTTCGAGGCGTCCGCGCGGACGTCGCGTCGAGACGCGACGCGAGGCGATCGGCGACCGAGGACGCGGCGACGACGACGGGCGCCGCGCGCGCGCCGTTCCTCTCAACGCGTCTCAAGCCGATATCCGACGCGAGGAAGTTGTGGGCGAGCGCGACGCAGAGCAGGCTGGGGGTGGAGACGTCGTTCTCGGGGGGATCCGACCGAGTGGCGTTCGTCACGGAGCCGAGGACGGGGCTGAAGCTTCCGGGTGCGCGTCGTTCGCGTCGTCCACGTCGCGTCGTCGTCGTCGTCGTCGCCGCCGCCGCCTCCGCCGCCGCGCGTTCGTCCGTCTCGCGATGACGCGCGCAGGCTGGGTCCGAACGAAAAAATCCTGATGAAAAAAATCTCACTCGCTCGACGCTCGACTCGCCTCGCTCGCTCTCTCCTTCCGACCCACCGACAGGCTCGTTCTGCGTGCGCGGGAAAACATCCGACTGCGCCCCTCTCGCGGGAATGGGCGTCCGCGTCAAGCGCATCGCCGGCATCGGCGTCAAAGTCTACGCCTGCGGTCTGTACGTCGACCCCGAAGACGCGCGCGCCGCGCTCGGCGACCGCTTCGTCGGCCGCGACGTCGCCGACGTCGGCAAAGACCAGTCGCTCTTCGACGGCGTGCTGCGCTCCGACGACGTGGACAAGACCGTGCGGCTGGCGTTCGCGAGGAACATCGACAGCGCGAAGATACGCGACGCGCTGAGCGAGCGCCTTCGACCGGCGCTGGGGAGAGACAGCGAGAGCCTGAAAACGTTTGAGACGTATTTCGACGGCGTGACGTTCGAGAAAGGGCAGGCGCTTACGTTCAGCGCGACGGGGGGGAAGCTCGAGACGACGATGAAGGGGAAGAGCGTCGGGGTGATTCACGACGCGAGGTTGTGCGCGGCGCTGTTCGACGCGTACTTGGGGAGGGACCCGGTCGTGCCGAGCGCGAAGCGGAGCCTGGGAGAGGCGCTCGCGGCGCGCGTGGTGGGATAAAGTCGTCTGTCGTCCGTCTGTTCACAGAGAGAGTTCTTTTCAAGTCGCGATTCATAAAAATCCAGCTGTGCGTCTTCGTCTGTCGCTCGCTCCGAGGTTTGAACGAACGACGACGGTCGGGCAGTCTCCTTCGCGCCGCGCCGTCGCGCGGTCGCTCGTCATGCTCGCCTCCCCCTCCGTCGCGCGGGGCCCCGCGGACGTCCTCGCGCACGCGGAGATGGTCTCCCTGCGCGTCGCGATCGCGCGGCAGATCGCGACGTCGCGCCTGAGCGTCGCGCAGGGCGAGACCGGGAAGCTCGTCGCCGCCGCGGTCGCGGCGTCCGCGAGCGCGCTCCTCGCGCGGTCGCCGTCGGCGTCGCCGTCGGCGTCGCCGTCGGCGTCGCCGTCGGCGTCGCCGTCGGCGTCGCCGCCCTCCGCGAACAAGACCGCGAACAAGCGCAAGCGCGGCACGCCGCAGAGGACGCCCGCGTCGTCGCCGCTCGACGCCGCCGCGCCGTCGCCCCCCGCGGCGAAGACGACCCAAGACGCCGCGGCGCAGACGTCCTCGCCGGAGGAGGCGGCGAAGGAGACGATCCGCGACGAGTGGCAGCGGCTCTACGCGCTCGCGATGAAGCACGGAGGGAAGCTCGACATCGGGAGGACGCGCCACGACGCGATCGCCGTCCTCCAGGACGAGGCCCGCGTCGCGCGCGCGGCGGCGAAGAACGCGCGCGAGGCGCTCGAGACGTTCACGCGCGAACGCCGCGAACACCGCGAACGCGGCGTCGTTGACCGCGAACGCTTCGAACGCGCCTCCAGCAGCGACTCGCTCGTGTTCGACCTGTTTCCTTATCCCTTCAAGTGGTCGCCACCCGAAGTCTCCGCGGACGCGACGCTCGCGGCGCTGGAGGAGGCTGCGACGCGCGCCGAGTCCGACGCGAACGCCGGCGACGCCGCGTTGCGGTGCCTCGTCGAGGCTATCAATCACGAGGCGAGAGCTGAGCTCGAGCTCACGTGGCGCGCGGAGTGCGCGCGACAGAAAGACATCGCCGCGAGGGTCATCCGCGAGATCCAGTGCTTCGGCATGCCGGTGACGGGCCTGAGCGCGAAACTCGTGGGGGCGGCGACGCCGCCCGCGCCGCCGGTCAACGTCGAGATCGACGACGCGGAAGACGACGACGACGACGACGACGGCGCCGACGCGGCAGAAAAGCGCGACTGGCAGAACGAAGACACGCAGCCAGAGGACGACGTGGAGAAGTCGCCGGCGCCGAGACCTGAAGGGAACGGCGCGTCCGCGACGGACGCGCCCGAGCTCGCGCGGTCGGACACTGACGCCGACGCGGAAGAGTCGGACGAGGACGACGACGTCCCGATCGCGAAGCTTCTGATGAAGACGGATCCGAGGCCGACGAGGCGGTGCGTCGTCGACGCGACCCCACGTCGCGCCGCGTCCGAGCCTCCGCCGCTGATGTGCGAAACGTGCGGCGCCGGGCCGTTTAAGAAACAACACGGGCTGAACTTGCACAAGACGCGATGGTGCGTGAAAGAGAAGGACGCGGACGAGACGCGGGCGCGCGAAGAAGCGCCGCCGCCGCCGCCCGTGAAGCGCGGCCGCGGGCGTCCGAAGGGCAGCAAGAACAAGAACAAATTCCTCGGAGAGCTCGACTGAACGTCGCGAAGTGGCGCGCCCGCGCGAGAGAGCGAACGAACGAAACGAACGAACGAAACGAACGACGCGCCCACGGCGGATCGAATCGACGACGAATTAAAATCACAATCCCTCAACGCTCACGCCGGCTTCGCCTCGTCCCACCCGAGCGCGTGCTCGTACACCTCGTCGTACGTGCTCACGAAGTGCACCTCGATCCCTCTCTTCACCTCGTCGGACAGCTCGTCGTAGTCCCTCCGATTCCCTTCCGGGAACAAAATCGTCGTCACGCCGCTCCGCCGCGCCGCGATCGTCTTCTCCTTGACCCCCCCGATCGGCATCACGATGCCCGTCAGCGTAACCTCTCCGGTCATCGCGAGGTTCGGCCTGACCGGCTTCCCGGTCGCCAACGACACCATCGCGGTGATCATCGTGCACCCCGCGGACGGCCCGTCCTTTGGCGTCGACCCCGCGGGGACGTGCACGTGCAGCGCGGTGTCGTCGAAGAAGGTGTTGCCCGGGTGTTTGCGTTGTAAAAACGCGCGCGCGTAGGTGTGCGCGATGGTCGTCGACTCCTTCATGACGTCCCCGAGCTGCCCGGTCGTCTTCAGCGTGCCGCCTTTTGAGCCGCCGCCTTCCTCGCCGTTCTCCGCGGATCGGACGTTCTGTTGCACCGCGGTGCACTCGATGTACAGCGTCGAGCCGCCCATGGACGTCCACGCGAGGCCGGTGACCACCCCGGGCGGCGTCGTCTCGTAGATTCTGTCCGTCTGAAACGGCGGCTGGCCGACGTATTCGATGAGGTCCTTCCCGGCGTCGACCGCGATCGCGTGCTCGCCCGCGACCGCGGACGCGTCGATCGCGTCCTTGACGCCGTTCTCCGCGTCAGCGAGCTGTTGCTTCGCCTCCGCGACCTCCTCCTCCGCGGCTTTGAGGATCTTCTCGCTCTTCGCGCTCGCGGCGACTTTTTTGTGCTCCGCCTCCTTCGTCTCGAGGTTCTTCATCGCGGCTTTGACTTTCGCGCGCGCCTCGCCGACGCGTTTGGACGCCTCCGGGCCTTTCGACTTGGCGAGCTTCAGCGCGACTTTGCGATAGATCTTCTCCAGGTGCTTCTGTAAGTTCCGCACGCCCGCTTCGCGGCAGTAGTCCTCGATGAGCGACTTCATCGCCTGATCCGTGATTGACGCTTCGCTCTCGCCGACGCCGCTGCGCTCTTTCGCGTTCTTCTCGAGGTACCTCCGCGCGATCGCGTTCTTCTCGTCCGCGATGTACCCGCTGAGTCGCACGACTTCCATTCTGTCGAGCAGCGGCCCCGGGATCGTGTCTAACACGTTCGCGGTGCACACGAACAAAACTTTGGACAGATCCACGGGGACGTCGAGGTAGTGATCGAGAAACGAGCCGTTCTGTTCCGGGTCCAAGAGCTCCAGCAACGCGCTCGCGGGGTCGCCCTGGTACCCGCGTCCGAGCTTGTCGACCTCGTCGATCAACACCACCGGGTTATCCACCCCCGTGCTCTTGAGGCACTGCACGAGCTTCCCCGGCATCGCGCCGACGTACGTCCGTCGGTGGCCTTTTATCTCCGCGACGTCGGACAAGCCGCCGACGCTGAAGCGGAAAAATTTACGATCCAACGCCCGCGCGATGGACTGCCCGATGGACGTCTTCCCTACGCCGGGAGGGCCGACCAGAGTGATGATCTTCCCCTGCGTCGTCCCGCGCAGCTGCCCGACCGCGATGAACTCCAAGATGCGCTCTTTCACGTCCTCGAGACCGTAGTGATCGTCGTCCAAGACCTTCGACGCCTCCGTGATGTCGAGGCGTTCCTCGCTGCTGTGTCCCCACGGAATCGACGTGAGCCACTCCAGGTAGTTGCGCGTGACGTTAAACTCGCTGGACGAGGGTTCCAACCCAGAGAGCTTCTGGAGTTCTTCTTCGATCGTCTTCACCGCGTGCGCGGGGGCTTGGTCCCTGAACGCGGCAAACTTTTCCGCAAACTTTTCCGCGAGCGCCGTTTTATCGTCCCGCTCCATCCCGAGCTCCTTCTTGATGCTCTTGAGCTGCTCCATCAAGAAGTACTTCCGCTGGTCGCCGCTGATCTTCTCCTCGACGCGTCGGCCGATGTCCGCCTGGAGCTTCCCGAGCTCGACCTCTTTCTTCAGCAGCGTCAACGCCTTGTTCAGGCGGTCCCTCACGTCGACGGTGGATAGAATGTCCTGCATGGCTTGGTCGTCCGCGCTGCACATGGACGTCGCCAAGTCCGCGAGCTTCGCGGGGTCTTGAAAGTCCGAGAACCGCTGCGCGAAGTACTGCAGCGTCTCTTTCGCCATCGGGTTCACTTTCAGGAGATCTTTGATCGTCGCGATGACCTCGTTCGCGGTCGCTTTCAAGACGTCGTCGTCCTCGGCGGGCTTGTGCGGCTTATCCTTCAGATGCTCCACGCCGACGACCATCGGGTCCGAGCGCATCGTCTGCGTCTTCCGCAGGCGGTGGTGCCCGAGAAGGAGCAGCGTCACGCCGCCCTCCTCGGCGTCGTCCCCGCTCTTCTTCTTCTTCGCGCCGGGTGCGCCCGCGGCGGCGGCTTTGCCCTTCGCGGCGCCACCCTTCTTCTTACCCTCGGCCCCCAACTCTTTCTCGTCGTCGTCGCCGTCGCCGTCGTCCTCGTCCTCCTTATAATCCACGATTCGAATGATGTTGTTCACCTGCGCGAACGTCCCCACGTCGTGCATGTCGTCGCTCGGGTCCCAGTTCAGGGACTCGTCGGAGGGCGCGTCGCCGGCCGCCGCATTTACCGCCGCCGGTCCCGTCGCGTCCGACTTCTTCAGGAACGCCCCGACGTACGCCTGTCCGCGCGATTTCATCTCCTCGAGCTCCGCGATGAGCTTCTCGTCGAAGATCCTCACGGGCATGATCACCCCGGGCATCAGCGGTCGGCGTTCGAGCGGGACCACGAGCACCTGCGGGTGCGACGAAGGATGGCCGCTCTGTATCATGATCCCGCCGCCCGCGGTGGAGGGGGCGTCTCCTACGCTCGACGCGAAAGCGCGGCGAGCGCGAACGCGCGTGACGCCGCGCATGGCGTTCCACAGCCGGTTGCCGTACCCGTCGTCGCCGTTGCGCGAGCCTGCGGTGGGGTGGGGTGGTAGGGGGAGTCTCCATCCGCGCGAGGCGAGAGGAAGAGATTAAATCAATCGTCAGCGGGAATTCTCTCGCGACGGGACGACGACGGGACGGACAGGACGACGCGAGGGACGACCGACGTCACCGCGCGACGCGTCGGGGCGTTCGCGGGACGCACCCGGCATGTCGCTCAAGTACCTATGACGCGGGTACCGCGCGGGCGCGATCGCGACATCGGGCCGCGACGCGCGAGCGGCGGCCTGCGCGACCGCCTTCGCCGCGCGTCGCATCGACATCTTCCGACGAGGCTCCCGTCGACGCGACTAATCTAATCTGAACGTCGCGCCCTCCGAGATCGAACGCCGTTCGCGGCGGCGACGGACAGACGCGGGGATCGGCTGAGGTCGCTCACGCCGAGGCGTCGCCGGATCGCGATCCCGAGATCGCGCGTGTGGCGTGCCGCACGCGCCGGATGCTCTGAGGTGCCGTCAATTTCTTCGGCAACCTTCCTGTCGTCGCGTCGTCCGGTCGCCACGCCAGCTGGCGAGATTTGCGGAAAGTTTCGGAGACGCCGCCCACCGCCCGCTCTTCCTTCCGCGCACAGAAGCGACGCGCCGAGGTCGGCCGCGGCCGCGCCCGCGATGGTGCGCATCGCGGAAGAAGAACGCCCGATCTCCGTGGACGCGCTCCGCGCAGATCTCGCGGAGAGCCGACTGCGAGAGATGAAGCTCGCGGAGGAAGTCTCGGAGCTGAAGGATTCGATCGACGCGGGAGCGGGCGACGCGGACAAGGACGCGGCGGTGAAGCGCGCGATGGAGACGCAGCGCGCGAGCCAGGCGACGATCAAGAGCCTAGAGAGCGAAGTGCGCGCGCTGCAGACGAAGCTGCGGATGATGGAAGCGCACAAGGCGTTCGCGGCGTCGGACGAAGACGACGCGAGAAGGGCGCTCGAGAGCGCGATGATGCTGTTCGCGCTCGCGATGACGCTCCTCGTGTTCTTGGGCGTGTCCGAGTGGGCGGGGTGGACGGACGTGATCGGGTGGGTCGCGCGGAGCAAGCTCGGGGACGGCGGCGGCGAGTGTCGCGCGACGTGACGTGACGAGAGAGGCGCAGGTCGGGGAGCACACTCGTAGGTCGTCGCGTAGAGCGCTAAGCGTTTAGTTTCATCATACTCGTAGTAGGCGCGCGGCGTCGTTCGTCGCTCAGAGCTTCAACCCGTCGACGAGGAACGCGCTCAACTTCTCCGCGAAGCTCCGCTCTTCTTCGTCCTCGCCAAACCTCGCGTCCGCGGCGGCCACCGAGCACCGCGCGATGGCCTCCGCGAACTCCGGGTACGTCGCCTCGCAGTCCAACGTCTGCAGCAGCGCCGTCGCCTTCTCGTCCGTCTTCCTCTTTTCCTCCGCCGCGGCGGCCCGGGCGGCGTCTTCGTCCACCTCCGCGCCGCGCTCGATCTCTTCTGCGTCCATCGCCGCGAGCTCCGCGTCCATCTCCGCGTCCGCGGCGGCGTCGACGTCCGCCTTGGGGCTGAGCGCGGCGGCGAACGCGGCGAGGGCTTCGATCGTCGTCACCGTCGCGGACGCCGGGCCGGGGCTGGGCGGAGTCTCTTCGTCCGCGGCGGCGGCGGCGGCGGCGGCGGCAGCCTCGTCGGCGTCGCCCTCGGCTGGGGTTTCGCCGTCGTCGCCGTCGCCAGCCTCGCCGCCTTCGCCGCCTTCTTCCGCCGCCGCGGCGTCTTCGCCCTCGCCAGCCTCTCCGTCGCCCTCGCCCTCGCCGCCCTCGCCGCCCTCGCCGCCCTCGCCGTCCTCCGCCGGCGCCGGCGGATCGAGCGACGGAATCTCCAGCGGCTCCCCGACCGGCTCGTCGTCGCGCAGGCACCCGGCTCGCTTCAGCAACCCCAAGAACGCGCGCGCGGTCACCACCGGCGGCTTCGACGGCGGGACGTCCGGGTCCGTCGCGACCATCCCGGTCGCGACGCCGGCGAACGCGGCTCGCGTCTTTCCCTCCGACGCGCGCTTCGTCGCCTCGTCCGCCATCTTCGCGTCCCACGGCAGCGGCGCGCCCGCGGTCGGTCGCGACATGTGCGGCCCCTCGATCAGCGGCAAGATGTGGTCGTGTATCAGCGTCGCGACCCTGCGGTCGAGGCCCGGGAGGTGGTGGTATTTGACGTGCGCGACTCTCACGAGCGCCTCGGCGTACTGTCGGTACACCAACTCGCCCGTCGGGTCCAGCGGATCGGGGGTCTCGGGCGGCGGTCTGACCGCGTGCTCCGAGACCAGCTCGGGCGCTTTCCGTCGCGGTTTGTCCTTCGCCCACGCCGGGAGGATGGCGCGCGAGACGACCGCGACGGTGACGTCCGCCGTCGTGATCCCGGCGCGTCGCAAGAGCGCGATGAATCCCGGCACCGTCAACGGCACGGCTTTGTTCGGGTTGACGTTATGCCCCGCGTCTCTCGCCGCGGCCACCGCGGCGACTCTGTAGACGCCTCGCAACTCCGAGTTGTGACGCAAGAAGAGATGATCGAGCTGGAAGGTCACCTTCTTGACCGTCTCCTGTTCCTCGTCCATGAGGTCCTCGACGTCAAGCTTTAAATTTTTCGTCGGCTCGAAGGGCGCGCCGCCCTTCTCCACGACCGCGCGGTCCTTCTCGAACGTCCCTTTGAACACGCTGCCGTCCTCGAAAGTGTACGTCCCCTTGCCGTGCTTCACGTTATCTTTCCACTCGCCGTCGTACCGCGTCCCGGTCGCGTACTGAAACACCCCTCTCCCGTGCCGTAACCCGTTTTGAAACTCCCCCTCGTACTTATTCGCGGTGTTAAACCACGCGCTCGGATCGTCCTCTTTGATCCACGGCGCCCTCCACGCGTGCACGCCGTACCCGTGCGGCTTCCCGTCGAGCCACTCGCCGTTGTACCACTCCCCGTCCTTCTTCCACTCCATCTTCCCGACGCCGTTCTTCAAGTCCTTCGCCCACTGCCCGACGTAGACGTCCCCGCTCGCGTACGCGAACGTCCCTTGCCCGCTCTTCTGGTCGCACGCCCACTCGCCGTCGTACCGCTCGCCGACGTTCGAGTCGTGCGTTAAAACCCCGCGGCCGTGGCGCATGCCGTCGCGCCACTCGCCGTCGTACGTCGTGGACGAGCTCGCGAACGTTTGGATCCCTCGGCCGTGTCGAAGGCCCCGTCGCACGCCCCCCGCGTACGCGCTTCCGTCCGGCCACGAGTACGTCCCCTCCCCGACCGCGACGTTGTCCACGAAGTCGCCCTCGAACACGATGCCGTCGACCCACTCGTACTTTCCTCGGCCGCACATCTTGCCGTTCTCGAACCCGCCCTCGTATCGATGCCCGACGCGGAACGTCGCGATCCCGCGGCCGTGGTAGTACCCCGCGCTCGAGACGTCGCCGTCGTAATCGGACACGGAGACGGCGACCATCGCGGGTTCGACGACGCCGCGCGGTTTCGCCATGGCGCGCGAGCCCGGGGGGGTGTCGCGACGGGGGGGGGATGGCGTGAGCGCCGCGCGAACGTGCGGTGCGTGCGCCCTGCGCGCGCGCGAGTGGCGTCCCATTTTGGGAAATCAATCCAACGTCTTCTGTTTGACTTCTTTTCACGACTTCGAAGACCCGACTTTTCAGCGGTCGCGACGACGCGACGTCGTCTCAGATCGCGTCGCCCCGAGCACGCGCGGCGGATCCCACGCGGGCGGGCGCGCGCGCGAACGCGACGCGATGGACTTCCGAGGCCAAGCCCTCGCGGAGTGGATGATGACGCTGATCATCGTCCTCTTCTCCCTCGGCGGGTTCCTCTACGGGTACCACGTCGAGAGTTACTCCGCGATGATGACGACGTACGTCACCGGCGTCGCGCTCGCGTTCGTCACGACGTGCCCGGACTGGTGGTACTTCAACCTGAACCCGGTGAAGCTCCTCCCGATCGATTCCGATCACCCGCAGTGGGACACGAAGTACCTGTACCTGCACCCGCCCGGGTGCAAGTGCGAAGCGGGGAAAGCCGCGGGCGGGTGCGGCGAGGACGCGAGAGACGGAGAGCCGGACGACGCGGAGACGAAGGGCGAGTGGTGGAAGCTCGGCGGGTGGGGGAGGAAGAAGAAGATGAACTGAACGCGCGGCGCAGCGCGCGCGCTGCGTGGGATTTAGGGTTTAGCTTTAAACACTATAAGTATAGCTTATAGCAGGAGCGAAGAAGCGAACGGAACGACGTCTGTCTTCGCGACGGATGATTTGATCACGTGATCACCCGCCCGCCGCTCACTTCTTCGCCTTCACGAGCTTGGACTTCTCCATCGCGAGCACCTTCTGCACCCTCTCCACCGCGCGCGGGTCGCCGGTGGCGACGCCGACGCACTCGGCGTACGGCGGAGATATCTTCACCTCGTCCAACACGACGATCGACCGCCCCTCCCACCGGCACGGCAGCGTCCTCGCGAGCGCGTCGAAGATGTCCTGCGCCTCCGCGGTGACGTCGACGCCGATGTTCGCTGCGCGCGGTGGTGCCGGGGGGAGGGTGGGGGTGGGGGGAGGTGGTGAGATGAGATGGATGGGCGCGGGTCGGGCGGGGGTAGGGTCCTCGCGCGTCGCGGGGAAGAGAGGATGGATCGCGGGTTCGGATTCGATCGGTCGAATGAAATTAGGGCGGCGAGGACGAGGCGCGCGCGGATCGGTCGATCGATCGAGAGGACGGACGGACGGCACACCCGCGCTGATCGTCGCGGCCTTGACCGCGGCCTCCTCTCTCTTCTGACACCGCGCCTCGTCCACGACCGGGAGCTTCTCCATCTTCGGCGGGTCCGACGGCGGCGTCGACTTCAGATCGCTGACGCCCTCCGCGCGCAAGATCCGGACGTCGTGCGTGTTGACGATGTCACCCTTCGCGCGGAGCACCGCGAGGCCGGTGCCCTCGTCGAACGTGAAGACCTCGCCCGCGAACTTCTCCCCGGTCGCGGTCACGCCGGAGACGACGTGCCCGATGCCCCAGTCCGCGACGCCCATCGTGTCGTCCTCTCGCGCGTCGGCGAGTGTCCCGCGCGGTCGAGGGCGCGCGGAATGTGTGTGTTATTTCAAGTCTCCGTGACGCGGAATCGATGGTTCGCGGTCGGCTCTCCAAACAGAACCGCCGCGTTCACTTCTTCCGCTTCCGCCCCCGCAGCGCGTGACTCGGATTCGATTATATCCGCCGGCGGCTCAGCTGAGAGCTCGCACTGCTCGGCGCGCGCGCGCTGACACGCACATCGCACGCGCGAACGTGTAGCGTTACTTCCGATACGCGAGCGCGTGTGATCTCCGTACGACACCGCCGCTAAGGTGCGCGCGTCGCGACGCGCGACGGCCGATCGCGTTACCCCCGAAAAGCGCAGTCGTTCGCTGAAGACAGCCAGCTTTTCTTCGTCGACCACATCGTCGCCGCCGGCGTCGTCTCACGCCCTCCCCCCCCGCACATCACCCCAGGCCGAGAACACACCATGGGCGCGGCGACATCCACGACCGAGGGCGCGGCGCTCGCGGCGTCCGCGCCCGCGGCGCAGCGGCCGACGTTCGTGGACGCCCCCGCGACGACGACGGAGGAGGCGGGATCCGAAAACGGCGCGTCGCGAATTCTGTGGACGCCGGAATACCACCCGGAGTCCATCGTCCCTCCCACGAGCGGCGTCGGCCAGGGCACGCTCACGGTCCGCCAGACCGCGATCTCGACCGCGATGATCATGGAGGACCAGCCGATGACCCGCAAGACGAACATCGTCTGCACGATGGGACCGAAGTGCTGGGACGAGGAGACGCTCGGGAAGCTCATCGACGCGGGCATGGGCGTCGCGCGGTTCAACTTCTCGCACGGCGACCACGCCGCGCATCAGGAGGTGCTCGACCGCGTGCGCAAGGTTGTGAAGGAGAAGGGCGCGAACGTCGCGGTGCTCTTGGACACGAAAGGCCCGGAGATTCGCACAGCGATGCTGAAAGACCACGAGCCGATCGAGCTCGAGGCTGGCCAGCCCATCATCGTCTACGCCGCCGGCCCGGAGGAGTACCTCACGTACGAAGGGTACAAGAACGAGACGGAGACGAAGATCGGGTGCTCGTACGCCAAGCTGTGCGAGAGCTTGAAGCCCGGGAACAAGATGCTGTTCGCGGACGGCTCGCTCGTGATCGAGGTGACCGAGATTCTCGACGAGAGGAACCTCAAGGGGAAGGTTCTCAACAACAAGAAGCTCGGCGAGCGCAAGAACGGGAACCTCCCGGGCGTCAAGGTTGATCTCGACGTCCTGCAACCGAAGGACGTCGACGACATCAAGAACTTCTGCTGCGTGAACAAGATGGACTACGTCGCGGTTTCCTTCGTGCAAACCGGCGAGGACGTCAAGTACGTGCGAGAGATTCTGGACGAGAACGGCGGCGAGAACGTCCAGATCATCTGCAAGATCGAGAACGAAGAGGGCATGCGCAACTTCGACGACATCCTGAAGTACACCGACGGCATCATGGTCGCGAGAGGCGACCTCGGCATGGAGATCCCCTCCGAGAAGGTGCCGCTCGCGCAGAAGATGATGATCACGAAGTGTAACATCGCGGGCAAGTTCGTCATCTGCGCGACGCAGATGCTCGAGTCCATGTGCGAGAACCCGCTCCCGACGAGAGCGGAGATGACCGACGTCGCAAACGCGGTGTTCGACGGCGCGGACGCGACGATGCTCTCGGGCGAGACCGCGAACGGCGCGTTCCCGGACAAGGCTGTCGAGACGATGGCGGCGATCGTCAAGAATGCCGAACTCGGCATCGATTACTGGGCGCAGTACAACTTCCTCTCCCGCATGAACGCCGGGGCCGGGCGCATCTCATCCCTGGAAGCCTCCATCGCGTCAGTCGCGAAAACCTCCGTGGAGTACTCCGCGGACGCGAACGGCGACGGCGTCATCTCCGCCGAGGAGGGCACCGACATCATCGTCATCACCGAGGACGGCGTCGCGTCGGATCTACTCTCGAAGTACCGCCCGCCGTGCCCGATCTTCGTCGTGACGAACAACCCGTACGTCGCGCATCGCACGCAGACGCGCTGGTCGCAGTTCGCGTGCCTCGTCGAGGGCGAGCTCACGCTCGAGGTGGCCGCGAAAGCCGCGAGCGACGTCGCGCACGCGCGGTACATCCCGTTCGACGACCGAAGAATCCTCATGGTGACGTCCCCGGAGCACGGCCCGGTGAAGACGCACGCCATCTCGCACACGGTGACGATCCACGAGGGTATCGCGTCCAACTCGAAGACTGATCCGCTGCCGACGTCGTACGTGGACCCGGGGAACCTTCACATGACCATCTCGCAGCGCGCGTCGGACATCTCCCTCGATCAAATTTTGAAGCCGAACAAGGGGTACCGCAAGACGAACATCGTGTGCACGATGGGCCCGAAGTGCTGGTCCCTGGACGGCATGCGCGAGCTCCTGCGCGCGGGCATGGGCGTCGCGCGTTTCAACTTCTCGCACGGCGACCACGCCGCGCATCAGGAGGTGTTGGACCGGTTCCACGAGGCGTGCGCGCTCGAGGGCGCGGCGATGAAAGAGAGGCTCCATATCGACTTCACCCCGAACTGGGCGTGCCTTTTGGACACGAAAGGCCCGGAGATTCGCACCGCGATGCTGAAAGACCACGAGCCGATCGTTCTCGAGGCTGGCCAGCCCATCACCGTCGAGGCCGTCGGGGACAAGTACACCGAGTTCGAGGGGTACAAGACGGACGAGGAGACGCGCATCGGGCTGTCTTACGCGCGGCTGTGCCAGAGCGTCAAGCCCGGGGGAACGATTCTCATCGCGGACGGCTCTATCTCTATTCGCGTCGACTCCATCGAGTCCGACACCGTGCTCAAGGGCACGGTGATGAACACGAAGAAGCTCGGCGAGCGCAAAAACTGCAACCTCCCCGGCGTCAAGGTGGACATCCCGGTGCTCACGGCGAAGGACATCGACGACGTGCAGAACTTCTGCTGCAAGAACAAGATGGACTTCGTCGCGGTTTCCTTCGTGCAAACCGGCGAGGACGTGCAGTTCGTTCGTAAGACGCTGGACGACGCCGGTGGGCAACACGTTCGCATCATCTGCAAGATTGAGAACGAAGAGGGCATGCGCAACTTCGACGACATCCTGAAGTACACCGACGGCGTGATGGTCGCGCGCGGCGACCTCGGCATGGAGATCCCGTCCGAGAAGGTCTGCCTCGCGCAGAAGTTGATGATGACTAAGTGTAACATCGCGGGCAAGTTCGTCATCTGCGCGACGCAGATGCTCGAGTCCATGTGCGATAACCCCTTGCCGACGAGAGCGGAGATGCTCGACGTCGCGAACGCGGTGTTTGACGGCGCGGACGCGACGATGCTCTCGGGAGAGACCGCGAACGGCGCGTTCCCGGACAAGGCTGTCGCGACGATGGCGGCGATCGTCCGCAACGCCGAGGAAGGCCTCGAAGGCGACACGACGTGGTCCAACGTCTGGAACAACACCCCAAAGCCGGTCACCCCCCTCGAGGCCGTCGCGTCCTCCGCGGTCA